AAAAACACAGAAGAAGTGAAGTTCTGTGCTCCACAAACACACTTCAGGTTTCAGGTAAAAAAAAAAGCAAAGAAATGGCTGGGACTGTGACAGTTGCATGTGTGCTGTGTAACCACCAGAAAGCAGGGCTAACATCCAGGAACTGCCATTCCAAAGAGCTGCTGAGCTTTTTAAATAATATTTTTGCTGTGAAGTGCAGCACAGGGCTTTTCTTCATTGAATTGTCACTTGGGTATCAAAGCTTTCCTCTTGCAGGTCATAAATCAGGTGATTAAATACAAATGACAGACACAGAGCTTTTTAACCATAACTGATGTGATTTCTTCCTGATCTCATGGTTTTAAGACATGAGTTACCGAGGGTTAGGGCCATAAATTTCTTTAATGTTATCATTTAAATTCTATATAAACCCCACTCCTGTATCAGCACTATTTTTAATCATTACCATGGTGACAAAACTGTAAAGGTGCTTTATCAAAGGAAGCTTTACCACATCTTCAAAAACACTTTCTCTCAACTTAATCTTTTGCACCTTTAAAGTACAGAAAAATAAACCCCTCCAAACTCTCACTGTTAGATGTGGGTACAGACACTCACATAGCTCATCAATCACTCATATGAAAAGTATTTTCTATCTGCAGGTAGTGAATTCCTAAACTGAATAAAGTAAAGGCTAGAGAGAGCATCACTATTCGGGTCAAGTTTGCAAGAAATCCCTTTGCAAATAATAAGGTTCCCTGGGCATTAAAGAATCTATTTCCTGAAGACAGAGATACAACAACCCCTCCGGGAGCCAGAGAAATATTAATCCAAAATTAAAGCTGTTGAATAAAGGCCAACATTTCTCATTTTAGAATTCATTGCAGAAGGCTTGCGAATCCCAAATGACAACGTCGTTCCAGTTTCCAATTCATGGGAATCAAAACATGGAGTCTGCCTGGAAAAGGAAGTTTTAAACCAAGGCAGTTTGCTGGCAGAGCCGGGGCAGCCGCGCGCTCGCGGCTCCACGGAGGTGACGGTCCCCCCGTTCGGCACCGGGAGACCATCCATGGCTTCCCGGCACAGCGTGTAGTCGCAGAGAGACCACGTTAGGGTAACACCAGCTAGGGCAGAGGCTGAGGAAGAAAAGGCAAAGGGGCTCTACAATTCTACAGCTGGCGAGTTTGCACTGTGCATGGCAGCAGAGAGGTAAAAACCCAATCCAAAAAGCATTGCTCGTAAGAAGAAAGTTGAAGGCTGGTTGATGGCATCAGCTGGGAGGACTAGAGAGAGGCAAACGTTTCTGGAAGAAGGCGAGAGGCGCACGACAACGCTCAGCTGTGCTCCCGCTCCACACTTTCTGCACAAGACCTAGGTCTGCTCTTCCTTCATGGTGCCAACTGAGGACATTTCCTCCGAAGCCCTTCACCTTACACCACTGCATCACTCACCTCACTAAGCAACCCATGCAGCTACATCCCATAATGAGCATGGCGCTCACCGTTTATTATCAGGCATGTTAAAAAACGCAACTTAAACTGTGCAGCCTTCAGACATCTTCCCCCACCAACAGATGTGCATCTGTGTCCACACTGCGTGTCACAGGAGAAGAGCCGACCCCACCGGTGTCTTTTCAAGCTCAGTGCAACATTAGTCAAGTGTCAAATTCAATTAGTCAAGTGCGTCTTTTCATTGCCAATACTGTGAACGCTCCAAGCAGAGGGGTACGACATCCTCCTAAGTTGTGCAAGACGTTATAGGAACACACAGACACAGGCTCGGATGGATCCCTCTGAGCCAGGCTGTGGTGCATCCACCCTCACTGTAACCAGTCTCGATCCAGAACCAGGAATAAGCTGCATGTCACTCACTTTCATGTATTAATTAAAGGTGCTGATACCTTTATTGATAAACTGTCATGACTGGAAGCTACCAGATACAAAGACTACAGATCAAGGTTGCAATCCAGCCTCCCTGGTTGAAAGGAATGTTGCCTACACCAGGTATTAAGGAGTTGTGTTGTTTAGGTTTAAGTATCTGGACAGTTGTTAACCTGTTCTGCTTATTCTCTGCACAAAGACAGTCTGGCTTAGCTATAACCCAAAGGAAATCAGGATTTCTAAAAATAGGCAGAGGTAGCCAATAATCCTTTAGGAGTTACACACTGATACACACTGATACTCTGATTAAATGAGGAATTATGAATAAGCCTTAGTGGGAACACTTGAATCTAATGGAAAAGCCAAAGGGAAATGAGTACATAAGGAACAGTCTGCCCCGCTACCTCCAGACTCCCTTCAGCGAACACAGTATTCAAGGAGAGAGTCACATCCAAAAAGCCATGTAAGCAACTGACAGCTACGTGGTGGGCTGACACACAAGATCTCTCGGAGCTGCATCTGAAACACGGGCAGTTACGCATTCCGTTTTCTTTTATTTCTGTTCATCCGTAGCATCTCTTTTAATATTCTCTGAGCTGCAGAAAAAATATTCTTGATTTTTGTTCTACAGATAGATATTGAAGAAAAGAATATTTCCAGGGTGCCAGCTGGCAAACTGAATTCCCACAGTGTGTTAATCCCTACAACTGTGCCACATAAAAGCTCTCTCACAGCCTGTTGCACCCTCGGATGAGAGCGAAGGATGCCCAGTCAGGGCCTGATCTTAAAGAGCTTCCCCAGTCCCAAATCCCAAATTCCCCAGTGGGTTCACCAGGCCCAGCCTTCCACCACACAAATACAAACCACAGGCAGCTCCTCTCTGCTGAGGATCCATTCCCCTCGAGCAACCACCTTGGCTACCTGCACCACTCTTCATCTGTGCTCTGCATCCCCGCACAACTGTTTTGACCTATATGAGACCCACTGGACAAATACATCATTTATCAGCACAACCACCCAAATAAAGCAGCAGCGCAGAGAGCTCTGCAAAGATCCGTTCCAGAAGAACAGCCACATTTTTTTTTTTTTTGGTGAATTCCCACAGAAAACCTGCTCCTCATATAAATCTCAGTGTGAGGTGAACCTTGGCGCCTGGCTCTGAAAAGCCATCCTCTTTTTGTGCTGGTAAAGATAAACTTCACTAAGATAAATCAGATGCACTGATCTTGCCACTCTTAGTTCTGTTGTGCTCTGATTTAAACCTGACAAATATTCTCAAAATAAAGAGCTGAAAGTTATGTGGTGTTCTTCTTCTGGACTACTAAGCAAAACAAAACCATCAAAACTACTTCTCTATGAGCAAAGAAGAACTTGTTGGTGCAAAATACCTGAGTGATAACAAACTTTGCCATTGCTCTTATGGGAAAAGGCTGTTTGCTATTTTGGTAGAAGGAAGGTTTCTTATGAAGATAATGTTTCACTTTTGGTTTTGAAAAAATGAACTTAAGGGAAGAAGGGGGAAAGCAAAGAAGCAAAAATAAATTCTACTTTGCAACAAGCTCAATTACTCAGAGTTTCCTAAAATGAGAGGCTTAGTCAGAAGAACTGGAAAACTTAAGAAATGCTCCTTTAAAAACAACTCCCACAGAGCCAAGTTCCCCACCATGACTGAAAGACATGTGAGCAAGTCGGGCCGTTCCTCAGTTTAAGCGGAAGGCACGTGCAGGTTGTCTCTCTCCATTCCACCTTTTCAGAGCTCTCTCTGCTCTGCTCTGCTCTTCCCTCCTGCTGCAGGGAAGCGGCCCGTGCCACAGCACAGCAGTGCACTGCACTGCAAGGAGCTGGATCCATTCCTTGTCCGTGTGCTCTCCCAGCGGCCTTGCTTGACGGGCGGGAGGGAAAATCGGAGCCCCGCGTCGGGGCTGCCCTGTCTTTGCAAGCTTTAAGTCTCAGCACTTCTTTGGTGTCCTTAGGAGCTGCCAAGGAAGCAAGACCAGGCAGGCACTGCCTTGCTGGTGCCATCAGAGGGCAGGTGAGGTGTCACACCGCAGCCCTGTGCCACTGCTGCTACCCTCCCGTGGTCATTTAGACGAGTAGGATAACGGAGAAGACGCCAGCAGGCTGGAAAACAGAGTTCTTAACACTTGGCTCTTCCTGATAAGAACCTGGATCCATTCAAAACATGACTCTGCCAAAAGCTGACAGCTACACAAAGCACACAAATATTGTAGTTTTGCCACACAATTATTTTGCAACAGTAGTACTATCAAAAACACCTACAGCAAAACCAGTGCAGTGGGAGAGACTTCCTTATATTTTCCACATGTGGTGGTTGTCCGCAGGCCGAAATCTTGATAAACTACAGAGCCAACCTGGCCGACTTCACTGAAACACTTCCAAAGAAAAGTCCGGAGCTGGAAAGTTGCTGTTTTTGCTTCAGCACCACATGACAGAGAGGACAACCATATTCAGGATCTGGCCAAAACATATTTCCAGCTTCATCTCGGATCCATACGGATTCCATCCAAAGGTCAAGAGCTACATTTTTTGGTGAGGAATGTTCTGCTTTTGAGACACAATGTTGTCACTGTGATCCACTTCCCCTACTCAGAGCAATCAGCGCATTGTTCCCACTGAAAATGAGAAACGGCTCGAGACCTCTCAGATGGAAACAGCCTTTAAATCCAAATCATTCTAAAGAATAAAAACAGGCTGCTGCGTAACACAGTGATGCTACTTCAAATAAGTCATTTTAAAGGACACTTTTTCTCCTAATTTATCAGAAAAAAATAAAAAATAAGAAGGTACTCCAAGAGTTCAGGACACATAATTAAGCTGCAGTCGTTCTCTAATTTATTACACTTCACAAGTACAAAACCAAACCAATCCAGTCTTCACTGTCTAGCAATGCAGTTGCTATTTATTCATCAAAAACAACCACATGTTGATAATACAGGGCTATTAAACAAGTGAATTTGTCCCCTTCATTCGCCACACAAACAGGTTGGAATTACACACATATTCTAAATCAGGGTTTCTAGAAGGAAAAGACTTCATTCAGGGTCCTTGCAAAGCAGCAATGGTGAATGTTAAAAGTATTCTCATGATAATACAAGGAAAACTGAAAAGTGCAGGACTTACCTTCCACTGCAAAGAATGGAACCACTGATCCCTCAGGTAACTGTTTGCAGCCTGCAATAAAAAAAAAGGCACAAATAGAATCATTACTTTCTATCAGTGTTTCAGATCACTGAGCCAAAACCAAGCAAATTGTCCATGTGTTCTTTAGATCCAGCAAAGCTGCACTCGTTGTGTTCATCTGAACTTCCTGTCCCTGTCTAACTTCAACCCGTCTCATCAGCGTGAGGGAAGCTCTTTGCTCAAAGCCACACTACAACAAATTAATTTTCTCAGAAAGCAATGACGCAAAGACCTTGCTGCACGTGTAAAATTGGGAACCAAACCTCTCCAAAACATCCATCTCCTCCACAGTGGTGTCCAACCCAACACTGTGAAAAATCCTCATCGATTTCCGTGAGGTTTTGAGCACACCTTTAACATCTGCAGGACATTGGCCTTCTCTATTAATCACCATGAGCAGAGCAAGACAACGGCTTGACATTTTGCTAGCAGGTTGCCTTTTTTCCCATACATTAGCTTCCTGTCTTGTCCTATTCCTCAGCTGGCCACAAAAAGCAGTTCAAACACCAGCTCTTTTGGCGATACTAAGAAGGAGTGAGCAGCGAGCGCTGGGACGTGCACACGCTCGCAGAGACTGTTCGCAGTAGCTGCACGAACGGTGCAAGAGGCGTTCCCAGGGATCACCAGGTTTTGTCCGTACAAAGCCCGGCTGCCAGAAACTCTCCGTGTGAAGCAAGGTCAGGGCCAACGCAGGAATAGTTCAAGCCTCCCAAAGGTCAAAAGGCTCAGAATCAAAAAATATAAAAGCATCTACAGTGACGTAAATATGCATGCCTTGACAAGGTGACATCAGTTTGAAATATTTGAGTGGGTAGACATGCCCTTTGGCTTTTCCAACTCTATTTCATTTAGTCTTGGCCAGCAGGCAGTTTTTACTTACAATTCAAAATGTTTGATGTGACCAGTGAAAACTGAAGGACAGCCCTCATTCACGTTCAAACAAATGGTGAGGTTCTTCATTAGACTAAAAATGACAGACTTCTTGCAAATTAAAATATCCTTCGTGCTTTTTTCCTCACAACATTTTAGCTATGGATTCGAAATTCACATTGCAGAATGAAGGTTATTTCTTGCAAAAATCATGAATAGCAAGAATATTAAAAGTAAAAATGTCACCGGGTTACCAGAATTCTGTTTAACTTCCTGGTTAGATCCTGATCTCACAATGACATGAATTTGTACTGATTTCTGTAAATTAAATATGGTAATTCTCTCCCTCCCTCTGTATACATACATTTTATGTATATATATGTATATAAAATACTACATCTATATAAAAATACTTATATTGTATATAAACATACTCTGCATATATTTGTATATTGCAAAACATGTTAATATATATTGTATGGATGTTTTATAAAAGCTATATGTGCAACATATTTTATATATATATATATATATAATATATGAGAGAATCAATTACTTATCCAGTAGATCTATAGACAAAAAAAATCATAAAAATCAATCTGGACTGACCAGAGTTTATCAAAAACAGACTTTAAATTTCATGAAGTACACCAGCATATCAGAATATGTAGAAACTAAATAAAAATAAAGTAAATGATTATATTTAATAGTTTTTTTTTTTTTACCTATTAAATAATTATGAATATTCCAACGGTAAAATTTTTTTGGCCTGCAATGAGAAATTGTGAACTTCAGGACATTTCTGCTTGCCACTACTTAAACATTTTCTGTCTGTTATTTACACAATATTTTATGCATTTAAAAGAAAATCAAACACACTTTCTGATGAAAGACTGAATTTTAAATCAAACTGTCTTTTTGAGCAGAAAGCCCTTCTTTGGGGGGGCCACAAATATTGGCGTGGGTTTTTGGACAAAAGGCCCTGCGGCACCGAGCGCTCAAGGTGACTCTAGCTGAGGTTCCACATCCTGGTGCAATTCCCTGATTCCCAATATACGCATATCACAATGATTTGAATTCTTCCTTTCAAAGGGTCCTATCAAAGCCCTAAAAAAATAAGTAAAACTGTGAAAGCTTCTCAAGGACACAGCATCATATTATGAAATGGCAACAGCCAAGTTACACATCGTACATAACATCGCTTCCTTAAAAGCAATCCAATTCTGATTAAGCATACAGTAGCTATACTAACTTATTAACTAAGATCCCCAAGATACTGTTTTTAAACCGAGAAAATGCAGAATATTCCATATTCTAGCTAAAACCAGTGAGATGAAGTACTTCTCCCACCAAGGCAAATACCTGCCTTATGTCCCTGGTCTGACCACGACATGACTTGAACCAAAAGCCACCCCAGTCTAAAGTGAGAGCAAACACTGAAGCACTAAACGGAAACTGCTGAGAACTCTTCATTATTCTCCTTATTCAGGTGATAGGTAACTGCAGATTGCAAGACCACAATAAATACCTAAAAAATGCTCTATTCAGATAGATTTTTTGACTAACTTCGCTCCTAGTGTCTCTATAGAGGAAGAATTAGGAACTTGCATATAGGTGGATGAGAGAAAAAATAATAAGGACAACAGCATCAGGCTGTGGTGGAGGTGTGAGCGGACTGCAAGTACTGGAGGAGAAAATGAAGACTTAGATAAATGGTGAAAACCAAGGCAGCAAAGCAAAGGTTTGTGCAACTTGAAGACAGTGACACACAAATACCATTTACCACACAAAACTAGCAAAGTGACCAGGCTTCAGTGTGGTACCAGTGTTAGCTGCTGTATAGAATGGAGAGAGATCCAAAACACCTGTCCCGGCATCCAGGTTTGGAGTCTGAACCACTCAAAAACTAGGACCTGTCAGACCAGTTCCAAGGAAAATGAAGATGACGGCAGTTTCAAGCGAACACAGAAGAGAAAACCCAACCTTTAGGGAATCCCGGCAGTCCTACCCACGGTCAGGAACCAGAAAGGCGACGGTCACTCAGCAGCGCCCTTTCCACGGCGCCAGGAGGGCTGTGACGGCCGCGGCGCCCAGCCGAACCGCTGCCCCCTCCGAGGGGCTGCCCGGCCCGCGCTCCCCCCTTTCCCGGGAAGCTAATCCTCCCCGCGCACCCTTCCGCCGCCGGATCCGCGCGCCGCAAACCACAGCAACGCGCAGGAAACGCTGGATCTTCCGCAGAGGGCCCCGAACACCTCACCCTCGCACAACACCCCGTCTTCACTCCCTCCTCCTTTCCAGCATTGCCATGAGAAGGGGACTATCGGGGGGTTTCTTTCCTACCAAAGGAACAGAGAGTTTCACAGGGTGACAGAAAGGTCATCATGGCTCTTAGGTGCCCACACGGACAGCTGACCAGCTACCTGCCCCTTCTGCACATGCAGACCTACATGTATGTACAAATTCTGAGGTTTAAAGCATAGAGTACCAACACAGGGAACCCGAATTCATCTTTGAAAGCTTCATTCCGAATTAGAACAACATCTTATAGACTAATACTATTCGCTGTTTCAATTTTGCAGGCACTGTATGCCGTGGTGTTGCCTATGTTGTGTTTCACTTCCTCCTCTGTAACTAGGAACAGCAACGTATTTCTCCTCACGGGCATGCACAAAATG